TCAGATCCAGACAGATCTAAGCAGAGAAGGGGCCAGAAAGCTCTGGGCAAACTACCTCTGCAGCTTGGCCCCTGCCTCTTCCCTGCCTCCAGGGAGGGCTGAGTTTTGAAGACCTTCTGCCTTCCTAGTTGTCTCCGATCGCCTCCAGGTTTAAGACAGGGCGCATCTGGAAAGTTTACTCCTCTGAGCAGATGGTTCCCAACCCGCCAAGAAAAGCACAGCCCTCCCCTTGGAGGTGGTCAGAGCTTGAGAAAGGCCCAAAGAACAGTCACTTCCCAGCAGCTGACAGGGAGAGGATGCCAGTGTCAGCCCAGCCAGGTGGCCTTTTCTGGCACCTTCCGGAAGGCTCCCCCATCCAACTGCCTTACCCAGGTGCCCCCTGGAGCCTGGACCTGGGGAGGAGGGGGTTGCCAGGCCCTCCCTGAAGAACAGGGAGCCCAGTGGGTGCAGAGAGCCGGGAACACAGGAAACAGATGTGCGCGCGGCCCTGACAGGCGAGTGATGACAGACGCTCTCTGCAGGCCTCAGATGTCAGCAGAGAAAAGAAAGGCAGCCCAGCGGCAACACCTGTTCAGGCTTGGAGGCCACACTGGGGGTTGGGGGCAGCCCTGTGTGGGCGCTCCCCCGCCTCCCAGGGTGCCGCTAGGTAAACAGCTGCACGCTCCATCACCCGGAGCGCTCCCCAGACCGATGGACGGACGGAGTGCCGTGAGAGGGAAGGGCAGCCTGGCGGCCAACTCGCTTGCAGGGAAAGCAGAACCATCAAGCGGCAGACCCACCCTCGACGGGAGCCAGCTCCTCCCAGCAGCAGAAGGCGGTCCTGGCTGAAATCTGAACACCTGAGCAATGCTGGGGGAGCAAACACAAGGGAGCCACTTATCAGCGAGTGGAGAAGCGTGGTGGGGTATGGGGAGGACAGCAGAGGCAACCAGTGGGGGCTTCTCGGGGGCCTCTGGCCTCTGCAAGCTGCCTCCTGCATCTCAGCTGCTCTGCTGGCTGAAGCGGGGGGGCAGGCATGTGCAGAAGAAATTGGGACCCAGGCACCCCCACCACAACCCCCGCCCAGGGCACTGATACCTTTATAGCTGGAGCCCCAACGGGACACGAAGTCCGGGAAGAGTCGAGGGTTGGAGCGCATACTCCAAAGCCGGGCTCCTGGGTCAGATGTTGGCACTGTTGTTGTTTGCTGAGTGGCCTTGGGCAAACTCCTTGACCTCTCTGGACTTGATTCTTCCCCTGTGAAATGGGGATAGCAGCACCTCCCTACGTGGGGTTGTTGTGAGGATTCGGTTAAGTGTGAATACAGGTGAAGCCTGTGGCACAGCCTAGAACACAGAGAACATTCTATATCCTCATCATTATTATGTCCCCAGATGCCATTGCCAGCCGCCTGGCCAGCTGTGCCTCCCAGCTCCGAAGGGAGGGACAATTCCCCACCCCCAGCAGAAAAGTGGGGGCAGAGGCTGCAACGTTAGAGCCCATGGGTGCTGACGAGAGACCCAGCCCTGTTACAAGTACCTCGGGGAAGAGACAGGAGCGAGTGTGCTCCGCACCCCTGCTGCCCAACAGCTGCTCTCCCATCTCAAACCTTCCAGAGGAAGGAGCATCTGCACTTCTCAAGGGCAGCAACTGAGGCTCAGAGAGGGCAAGAGTCTTACCCAAGGACACACAGCCAGCTCTCTAGAGAACAAAGACTGAAGCCAGGTTGGTCTTAAGGTCAAGGCAGGGTCTTCCCATGGCTCTGCAGAGCTTCCTGTTCTGGGGCTCCTACCCTGGAAGCATCCCCAAAAGGGTGGACTGAAGCCTCCTCATCCCACCCCCTGACACAGCCCTATTCAAGAACCAGCTCACAGATATGGTGGCCACAAAGCAGGGAGCCCTCCCAGGGGCCAGGAGTCCAGCTGGTGAGAAAAGCCACAAACACGATCTAAACAGAGGGCATCAGTGACACCCTTCCTTCCTTCCTTCCTCTCTCTTCCACATTTCTTTCGTAGTGGTTAAAGTTGATTGACTAACGAATGAACACTTCACAGGAAACAACTGAGGCATCACGGGGGGCGGGATAGACGAGGTTCTGGAACACAATGTCCCAGCTAAGCCGTTTCCCTGCACCACCTTCCAATGCCCCAGCCACTCCCACCCGAATTCTCAAACTACACACCAAAGAGACACAGAATATGGATGTGAGAACCAAGGCCTCAGGAGCTGACATCAGGAAAGGAGTGTGGGGGCCTTGGCCCCTTCCCTAGTGGCACCAGCCACTCCTCTGCCCCTGCCAGCCCCTGCCTGGAGTCCCCTGGGTTTGTCTGCAGTTCCTGTGACCCTGCGCTCTCATCCCTGTGCCCACCCTGGCACTTGGCCTTAGCCTCATCCTGATTTGCTTACAGCTCTGCAGGAAGCTGTACTCTTTGCGGACTCTGCGCCCCCTTCCCCCAATATCGGAGGCTCTGTGCTGGCCACCAGACCCCCAGTGTCTGGAACAGCGCCTGGCTCAGAGCAGGCGCTCCACAAATATTTGTTAAATGAATGAGAAGGGAGAAGGGGGAGAAAGGGGAGGCACAGAGACTGCATTTCCAGCGTTCCACCGACCTTCAATCAGGCCCTCTTAGAAGCAGAAGTTGAGGCTCCTCTCTCCGTCTGTCTAAAGGAGCCTGAGCCCCACACCACTGCCCTGCCACACACACGCCCAAGGCCCCATCGGCCACCTGGGTTGTTGCCATAGCCCGGCCCTGGGTGGAGCTCTTCCCAGCCCATTCCAAGCCTTCTTTCAAGAACTTTTTACTGCTCCGCTATATCTAAACCCAACCTCTAGTTTACACCAACCTTACTCCCCTTTCTCCTGAATTCCACCCTCCTCAACAAATCCTCCCCATCTTCCAAGGCTCCACTTCTGCCAGGCAGTCCGCTAGGATTAGGACTTTGGAGTAGGAAGACCTGGGTTCAAGACCCACCTCAGCCACCTACTGGCTGTGTGACAGTCACCAGGGTCATCTGACCTCTGAGTCTCAATTTACTCACCTCTAAAATGGGAATAAAAAGGACTCACAGGGACATGGTAAGGAGTACCCGAAATAAGTTGTTTTAGAAACGGTGCGACAGTTAGTGTGATGTTCAGCCCTCCCAAACTCCTGCTGACTCCTTCTGGGCAGACACTAGTCTGCGTTTTCATCCACACCCGGCTACCCTCTGCTCCCCCACTCCCAGCTGTACTGGGAACTGCAGCTTCTTTTGTTTCTTCAAGTTTCTATCAGTGAAGGCCTACACTGGCATCTCATCAACTCCTGATGAGTGAGCAAATCAACGTGGGAAAATTCACCGCAATTTGCATGTTCCGCAGAAAAACAGTGAGAAGCCTCACGGTGGGGCGCTCTGATTACCCCAGGCCCATCACCACCAAGCCCCAAATCTGCACCCATCCTGCAAACCCAAAGCCTTGCAAACAATCCCCCTGCACCCTACAACAATCTGCCCCAACATGTCGGGCGCACGTGAAGGTCCAACTGTGAGCCAAGTCCTTGACTTTCTGGAAGCGTTCAAATGCCCCGATCTAGTTAATTCTCACACTGCCCCACGAGGCAGGTGATACTCGTTGCTACTCCCCAGCCAAGAAAATGAGCCCAGGGAGGATGAGAAGTGTACTCTCGGCAACTCAATTAACAAGAAAAAGGGCAGGACTGGAATCCGGTTCTGTCCTGCTCCAAAGCAGGGTTCTTCTCTGGTCCTGGCCCTTCTGACAGGCTGGACCACCACACACAGCAAACGAGAGGGTCAGCATCCACAATGGCGGGGCAGGCTTGGCCACTTTAAATGAGAGGCCACCCAAACACAGCTCTAAAGACAAAAGCCCCGGACAAGACCAAAGCCCCCAAATACAGCACTGAGTCCAAAGGTGACACTGGCATTGAAGGAACCCTGGGCAGAGCCTGAAGGCACTGGGGATGGCATCTACTTTTTAGACAGCAACCACTGTGAGTGAACACGCAACCCAGGAACCCTGCACATGTGCACGCGCATGGACACGTGGGAGGCAGGATTAGGAAACTTTCAAGCCGATGGCACCACCATTCCTGATCAGGGGGAGACACCCTCGCCTGTCCACACATCCCTCTGCCAGCCCCTCGCCAGCAGCTACCACTACTGGCGTCTGGCCAAAACAAGTCAGTGTCAGTGGCTTTGGTGGAAATTAGGATTCGTGGCCCCGGTGGCCGTGGTGGAGACCACAACTCACAGGCAACTTCTTCCCCAGACCCACCGGGGGCTGTTCCTGCTTCAGTCTTTGCAAAGCCAGATCCAAAATTAACTGAGCCCCGTCTGGCTGCTCCCAGGCAGGCAGCGTGAAGGCAGGCGCCTTATAAACAGGGCACACGCCAGGCCTCCCGCCCTCCCCCTGCACAGCTGACTTGCAGAGAAGAAAGACTCTCTTCCCACCGGGAGAAAAGTCTGTTTAGGCCACTCTCCCCTGGGTCCTGAACCCCCATGTCTGGAAATCTGTCTCCATCTGCTATTAAGCAGCCAGAGAGCCTCAGAGGAAAAGTGTGAACCTGGGTGGAAAATTCTGGAAAAGCTGAGCCAAGTGGGAGCTAGTGTAGAGGAACTTCCATTGCTGATGTGTTTCAAACCGGGTAAGTGCAGAGACCTCTCGGTGACCTGCATGGCTGGACTAATTACCAATGTTATCAGGCGGATGACAGACATGCCCCGAACTTCCTCTGTTTGATAGATTCCGCTGCAAACACACTCAAGTTCAGGCCCATGCCTGCTGTTTTCAGCAGTGCCCTATGCTTCTACGAGACCACAGTGGGCCCCCCAACTCCTCTGACCTGCCGCACGTAGAGTTCACCCAGGCCAACACACACACTGAGCACCAGCCAGGTGACCCGGGGAGGGCACCTCCTGCTGGAACACACAGTACAGAATCAGTGCAAACTCCTTCCTAGCAGAGGCACAGAAACATCTCTTCTTTCCCTGCTCACATTTCAGAGATGAGCACTGCTGCTTACCTTCCTTGCCACTGCCACTGGGGAGCTCCAGCCCATGGGTCCCTGGCGGGTAAGCCCTTGGCCAGCGCACACCAGGGTCCCACACTCCACACAGGCGCCAATGATCAGCTGCCGCCCATCGTCCACTAGCAGGCTGTGGCTTGCTCGCAGGGTATAGAGAAACAAGGGTAACCGGGCCACCCGCACAGCCTTCAGCCCAAGACAGCGCTTCTTCTCCTGCTGGCAGAAGAAGCACACGAACATCTCCACTTGGTACTGCCGAGACCAGGGGCTGATGGCGTGGTGGGTGCTGCGGGCCTCGTGCTGCAGCCACTGGCCCAGCAGGTCGTGGTAACAGAGAACGCAGGTTGCCACTAGGCCGGTGGAGTCAGCAGGCCTGGCGTGCGGGGCGGGCGGGTAGACGGTGAGGAACGGGAAGAACGGTTCTTTCTCACCCAAGCGGCTGGAGGGGTTCACATTGAGCTGGAACTCCTTCCCGGGGCCCAGCTCAGCCCCACAGATATAGCAGACGGATGCTGGGCTGCCCTGGGCCAATGTGGGCGGCTCGGAGAGAGCAGGGTCTGAGGCAGAGAAGGCCTGGTGGTACCTCCCCAGGAAGCCCTGAACGGAGGTGATGAGCTCCTCGTTCTGGCAGGCCCGGTACAGGGCCCAGATGTCCTCCAGGACGCTGAAGCACTTGGGGCAGCTGCGGACCTCACAGCGCTTGTTGGGGCCCTGGGCGTTGGGGGGGCAGGGCAGGAGGCTGAGAAAGGGGAAATGCATGGAGCCCCTGGCGTTGCCGTTGAGGACCCTGGAGGCCACGGCCCGGGCATCCTGGGTACAGTCTTCCCCACAGAGGTAGCAGGCCTCTGGCAGGGCCCCAGTAGGCAAGTCCTCTTCCCTCGGGAGCCTCCTGCCCTTGGAGGCCATGCCAGGGGCGTGGCTGTTCAGGGGAACCACGTATAGCCGCTGCAGGACAGGCACGTTGGCCAGCTCGAAGCTCTGCCACTGCTGCATGAGAGATGAGAAGCAGCAGGGACACACCAGGGTGCTGCCGCCCTGGCTGATGGGCTGTGCCCCGGGGGGCGGGCTGTGCAGCCACAGGAAGGGGAAGAAGGGAGCCTGGGCCAGCTTCTCCTGCTTCTGCACGTGGATCTGGTGCTGCGAGGCCGGGGACAGTGCCGACCCGCAGATGTAGCAGCAAAGGCCCTCTGGTGGTGCAGCCCGGCTATCCAGGGGAGCCCGGGGGGCACGGCCGCCACCGTTTTCCTTCTCTTTGGGGCGGCAGGAGCCTGGGAGAGGCTGCTCCTTCCGGTCCTCTTCCTCGCTGGTGATGTTGATGTCACTGTCCTCAGACATGCAGTAGCCCCCTCGGGTCTCCCCCAGCGGTCTGCTCTCAGGAGTCTTGGCGGCCCTCACCGAAGGAGCTCCTTTTACGCCCTCTGCAGGGGCCACTTGGACTGCAGGCCCTTGCCAAGGGTCCTGAATGCCCCTCAGGACGCTGGCCCGGGCCTCAGAGACCCAGTGCCTCCCGGTGCCCTTCCGCCGGCGCCGGATGCCGGTCTTGGGCTCCCCGTCCACGTGGAGTTTCGAAGGGACTCCCTCGTCCTCCAAGTCTCCTGGTGTGGAGGTCTCCACGCCCTGTCTCTGAGCGGGTCCCGGCGCCGGCTCCACTCGGCAGCGCCCCGCGAGGCCCTGGCCCTGGGGCCAGCCCTCGCCCGC